TGTCTTTCTAAGCCATTAGAATCATCTTTCTGAAATATAAATTTATCTGTAATGCTTATTTGCTTTAAAAAATGTCTTGAATGTGGGCAAAAAACACCAACACATGGAAGTTGAACAAAGAATAAAATGCTGCTTAATGACACCTGGATTGAATGGAAAAGCAAAGAAGAAATAAAAGATTCCTTGAAACTAAAGAGAATGAAGAGGCAAAAAAGAGAGAGACAAACTAAAGAGAATGTAGAGATACCAACATCTGTGGGACACAGCAAAAACTCTACGAATTGAAAATTCATAGCAATGCAGGCTTACATCAGGGAAGGAAAAAAGTTTTAATCAACAACCTTAATGCACGTCTCAAAAAACTAGAGGAAGAACAATAATTGAATCCCAAAACTAATCGAAGAAAGTAAATAATAAAAACTAGAGCAACCAACCTCGACTAACAAAATATAAACGCAGAAGGCTTAACATGTAACATCTTAGAAATTTCTTATACAAGGACTTAATGGTTCAAGGTGAGATACAACAATTCTCACTATCTTCTAAGTAAACATTTTTGATCATGCTCTTAGCAAGTAATTGATAACAAACAATAGTCAATAAATTATTAAAGGTCTGCTATGGGGGCAGGCTTAAGGGGTGGTTTGGAAAATTGGGGACAAATGTGGAGGGAACATGATAGAGTGGTGGAGGGATTGGTGTTGAAATATTGAATGCCTGTAACAAATTGAGAATAAATGAAAGAACCCCCGCCCAAGAACAAAAGCCCTGGTCTGAATGGATACACTGGTGAGTTCTATTAAATCTTCAAAGAAGAGTTACTGCATTTATTCCTCAAGCTCTTCCAAAATACTGAAGATACAGGAATCCTCTAAAAGCTTCTGCGAAGCCAACATTACATTAATACCTAAAACAATACCTAAAACAGATTGAGGTACTACTGAACAAGACAATTTCAGACAAATATCCCTGATGAACATCAACTCAAAAATCCTCAACAAAATCTTAACAAACCGAATCCACCATCATATCAAAAAGATCATAAACCACAATCAAGTGGACTTCATACCAAGGATGCAAGAATGGTTCAACATATGTAAATCAATTAACATACCACATACCACATTAACATACCACAGCAATAAAAGAAAAGTTAAAAGTCATATGATTATATCAATCAGTGCAGCTTTTGACAAAATCTTTTGAAAGCTTTTGACAAGATCTAATATCCAGGGGCTGGAGTGATAGTACTGCAGAAACAGCACTTGCCTTGCCCGTAGCTGACCCAGGTTTCATCCCCAGTCTCCCATACAGTCCCCCAAGCCCACCAGGAGTGATCCCTGAGCACAGTGCAAGGAATAAATCCTGAACACTCTGAGTATGATCCTAAAACCAAAACAAAAATCCAACGTTCATTCATGGTTTTAAAAAACCCTCAACAAAGCAGAGTTGGAAGGCTTCTTCCTTAAAAGAATAATAACAAACCCACAACCAGTATTATTCTCAATGGTGAAAACTGAAAGCATTCCCTCTGAGATCGAGCACAGGGCAAAAATTTTCAGTCTTCATTTTTATTCAATGTGGTATTAGATGTCAGAGCAATAGCAATCAGGCAGAAAAAAAATAAATAAAAGGTATCCAAATTGGAAAAGAAGTCACATTATCACCATTTGAGGAGGATATGATAATACACATAGAATACCCTGTGTGCCTCTGTCGTTGCTTTTTCCATATCTGATATTCCTTACCTTACCTTTGCTCACCTAGCCAAATCCTGGTCAGTAGTAATACTGCAGTGTCTTTCCAACATCCCCTTACAGGTCACTGTGGAGCCAATCTACTTTGACCTTTGTTTTTCTCCCTCAGAGAAACAATAACATAACATAAGCTAGCTTGTGAGCTTATTCTGTTTTGTGCAGATGTCTCCTGGGTGAAAATGAGTCTCCCTGAACTTGAAATGTCAGAATGGACATTCAATCCAGTCATTATGAAAATAAAACACATTACATTTTCTGAAACACACCTGAAGTCTCTGTTCATCTCAACACCCTTCGGAAAACAGAAAATAACTATAACTCTTTTTTTTCTTTTTGGGTCACACCCGGCAATGTACAGGGATTACTCCTGGCTCTGCACTTATGATTTACCCATGGCGGTGCTCAGGGGACCATATGGGATGCAGGGAATTGAACCCGGGTTGGCAGCGTGCAAGGCAAATGCCCTACCTGCTGTGCTATTGCTCCAGCCCCAACAGAAAATAACTCTTATCCAAAAATGCTAGAAGAGCAACAGCAGTAATAAATGCCCCTTCAGTGGTATCTGAGGAAAAATGCACAGGAGACTAGTTTAAATAAGTAGAGGTGCATAGTAGGCTAGTAGACTGCGTGGGGCCAATTGAAACAATTTGATACCACTTTGTTTTAAAAGAGAATATCAGACTTTATCACCTATTAAGAGCAGAAAACTAAATAATTCTATTTCACTGGATGTTGTCATTTCTTTGTCACACTCTGTTCATAGTCTTTGCCATTGTGTTTGGTAGTACTGAGGTTTGTTCCTTTGGGACTTCTCAGAGGGAGAAATCTGACCGCCTGGGTCTCTTGTGTCTAACTTTTGAAACCAAGGGGAACACTTTGAGTAGAGGAAATAGCTTGAGGAAAAGCACAAAGGTAAAAAAAAAGAAAAGAAAAGCACAAAGGTGCAAAAGTGGCCTGAATAAATGGCACAGGGCCTACAGTGCCTGCCTTGGAAATATGTGGTCAGAACTTCAAATCCCTGGTGTCCTACCACAGTCCTTGTGACTCTGATATCTTGACACTGAAAACTTTGTTCTGTTTCTGTCTTTCTGGGACAGACATTTTCCAGGTGCACCATGTACAAGTACATGTGAGCATCACCAAAAGGTTTGCAAGCCTTGGTAAATGATGCAACTGGAGAAAGAATACAAGGGAAGTCACTTAGAATAGAAAACTTCTATGTAAGAAATCCATCCTAGTCACATTTGTCTTAATGATCTACCCAGGCCTGGTATCTCAGCAAGTAACTACTAGATGAAGGGAAGCAGTATAACACAATCATAAACTATTGCCCAGAGAGATTTGGGTTGAGTCTTCACTCCCATCTCATTAGCTGTGTGACCTCAGCAAGTCATTGAGATTCACTGTGTTTAGTGCTCTTCTCTATAAAATGGGTTAAAATTAGAAATTCCTTTTTAAAGTTTGCTGTGAAATGAAATGAGCTAATAATGTATGCAAAGCACTTCAAAGAGCACCTAGCCCAAGTAAATACTCAGGAATCTTGGTCATTATTATTGTTACTCAGATAATCTAATAATTTCATTTAAGGTACTGCCAGCTGATATTGTTTTAATGTTTTGTTTTGCTTTTTTAACTCATATTCATTTTCACAGCAGCCTAAATTCCTTAAGCAAAGGAATCAAAAGGGGATGTTTTCCCACTATGATGAAATCAGTGGAAAGAGATTTGAGGAAACCTTTTATTGTACCCCTTAAAACAAACTCTGGATGTTTTATTATTGGTGACTGGTACCCTATATTTATATTTGCAGCCTGAATGTGCTCTCTAGAGAGACAAAATTAGGGACTATTCCAAGTGCTCCTTATGATCTGGGCAAGTCTAACTGTAGTCTGGGTAGGCAGCAAACACCAAATATGACTCACCCTCTTTCCTCCTTCTAGACCTAGAGTCTAGTTTCACTGGTCATGATGGCAAGTGGGTGTCAGGGGTGATCCATGAGTCAGGTTTGATGTGCATCTGTCACAGTCGTTCTGTGCCAGCCCTAACAATTTCTCAGTGTGTTGCCTTTGGCCTTTCTTCTCACCAACTCCCCTTTCCAAGTCATTCTGAGTTTGTTGTAAAGGAATCCTGGGGCTCTGGATCTGGATGGCGTTGAGAAGCCCTGTAAGTTGCCAAGTCTAAGACTGAGACTGGGTCTCAGGGCCAGGATTGGGGTGGGCTGCGTAACTAAGCAATACTCTGCTGATGGTCTGGATACTGAGAAGTTTGAAGCACTTCCAAAAGCCCCTTCAGAATCAAAAGCTCTTTCTGCTCATGCATAGGGGCCAGGCTGCTGCCACTTGGACTGGGCAGGAAGGCCACTCACATAGCAATGAAAGCCTAGCTTGGGGGAGGGAGCAATTAGTTTCCATTTTGTTTGTTGTTTTGAGCAATATATCAGTCCCACATTAATCTTTTACTGAGAGTAAGCAGCATAAGTTTTAAAAATTTCATCTCAAAAGAACACACCCACATGACAGTTATTTCCTGGTTGAGGGTTTTCAAACAACAGTAATAATAAAAAATCTGCATTATTGTTAACATTTTAAACACTACTTTCAGATCCTTTGGGCAAGACGTATTTTCTCTTCTAAATCTGAGGACCATCAATGCTTGCAGTTTTTAGAGGCAAATGAGTGAAGTTAAGCAACCCATTCCCAAACCCATCTGTTTGTCTCTGGCATACACATCCTGTTCTTGGAAGTGGATGGAGTAAAGAACGCTTCTTTTATCCTTTCCCATGACCTGGAATTGAATTTCAAGGGCATTAAATATGAGTATATTTGTGTAGAAGGATTGGGTTAAAGTCTTTCTGACTGCTCTTCATCCATTGATTTCATTTATTCATTCCACAAGGATTTATGAAATAAACTACAATGTGCTTGGCACTCCACAAAGGATATAGCCCCCCTCCATCTTTATAGAGATTTATCCCAGGATTCTGATATATGGAGCTCCTATCCTTTAATCTTCTATGGGGTTGAATGTCTAGGAGATGGTATGCATAAAAGGGGGAGTGACAGGGTCATTTTTGAGGGGAGGGGCTATATTTTCTCAAATCATTCGAGATCTGTCTATTTTCCTCATTGTGGAGACTTTTTCTAACATGTATATCTAAGAGGGGGAAAGGATAGAACTCAGAAATGACTGTCAGAGTGACCTAGACCCATGGCTGTATACTTGGGTATTAATAATGATTCCAGAGCAGAATGTTTCAATCTCCAACAGAGAAACAGAATCCTGGACTGACTACTGAGGGATCCTGCCAGCTACTGGCTCCAAAGTTGGCTTTGGCTCTGGACTAGATCTGTGTAAATTGGGGCCCAGGCTCCTCAGTCAGCAGCTTATATTGATTGCAGGCTTCTTTTGTCTCCTCCTCCCCAGTGGAAGCCTCTCCCCCTCTCCTCTTCTGCCTCTCAGCCTCTTCCGCTTTGCTGCTCTGCTTCTAATGAATTGAAATCTCCGAGAGAGCCGCCAAGACTCTGGTAGTTTTACAATACTGTCCTTGCTCTTTTTGCCTTTGCCTAGTCAAGGGTATCTTTGCCTGAGGTCAGGGTGATGCTGTTAGTGCCGGTGATGATTGCATAGCAACACAGAGCAGCTCTGAGAGAAGAGGAGGAGAAAGAGGAGGGCAGGGAGGTAGAAGAGACGGAGCCAAAGCGAGAGTGTGCATACAGCAGCTGTCGGCATTCCTGTCTCAGGGACTTCTTTGCTGATTCACAGAGGCAACCCAGTCGGGCCTCTCGGCTCCCAGTTGCTGCCTGCTTTCCAGACCTGACGGAATCAGAAGGTAGGCCACAGAAAAATCATTTCCAAGCCTTGTCCTTTTCCTATGGCTGAGGGGAGAAACAACTGAGGGAAGAGAGACTCCAAGAGATGCTGTGGTATGTGTGTGTGTGTGTGTGTGTGTGTGTGTGTGTGTGTGTGTGTATGCGTTGCAGGAGGGAATTATGCATGGACTGCCTGCCTGTATGTGCCTTTGGGAGTAAACTTGCATTTTAAAAAATTCCTACAGTGAAGTAGCCACTGCTTGGACTCGTGAAGGAGCAAAAATTATGCCCAGGAATAAAAACTCAAGCCAATTTGAACAACTATGGTCTAGAAATGAATAAGAGAAAGAGTCAGTTTGCTGTACTGAGAGGAGGGCGCTATTTATTTTCTGTGCTTATTTATTGATGTCGCTTCTCAATGACCTGATTTTTGTCCAAATGTGGATATACTGGTGGGAGGGAAGTGAAGGGGTGTGGAAAGTATTGGCTGAAAGGGGTGGAGAGAGGAAGTGTGGGAATGCAGAGCAGGTTCCCTGAACAAATGAGATGACAGAACACAGGAGTATTCCCTTGGAGTAAATGGGGTTCTGACCTAGGAGAAGGGGTTCCATCTCTCTTCCCTGTTCATTTCCTCACCACCACCCCACCATCGCCCCCACCCTGCTTATTCTCCCGGTTTACTTTCTACCCACTGTGATCAGGAGGGATCGCTTTACTGTTGAGATTATAGCTGTGAGAGCCTATCTATCCCTGGCGTCAGATCATGCACCCCGTCTGTGAATAGGCCAGAGACTGTGTGGATAGTGAAGGCTTGTCTTTTCTTTGGAAGGTAGGTAAAGCCAAGGCCTCATGGAAACAGGGTCGAAGTAGGTAGTTGGGCTAGGCTGGTGCGGCATGAGGAAGGAACAACAGCGTGTATAGTACATGTGTTGTCTGGCAAAGTAAATATTTTTGTGGGGGTGCAGAGGGGTGGAGAAATAGAATAGAGGTTAAAGCACTTGCTTAGCATGTGACTGTAGACAGGATCTCTTTACTGCTTGACTCCTGTTACTCCCGAGCTCCACTCAATATGATTCCCTGAGCAGAGCCAGGTGAGAGTTTTGAACAGAATAAGTATGAACCAACCCCCATCTTTGCAAAATGTAAGAATAAGGGGGGAAAGTTAATTTTGAAATAACATACTCAGGGCCAAAATGATAGTACAGTAGGTAGGGCGTTTGCCTTGCATGTGGCCGACCCGGGCTCAATTCCCCGAATCCCATATAATCACCCAAGCAATGCCAGGAGTAATTCCTGAGTGCAGAGCCAGGAGGAACCCCTGAACATTGACGGGTGTGACCCAAAAATAAAAAGAATAACATGTTCCCCCTCCCTTGTCTTTACAAGAACAGAGCCATTTAAAAACCCTGTATCTTGTTCACCTTAGTACTTGACTTTTCCAAAGGAATCCCTGTTTCTAAGATTAAAAGTCCTTGAGGAAATCACCTTTTGAAAGGTGCCCCCAGGAGATACAAATATCAGATTTTTCTTTTAGAATTTGGGTGCTGAAAGGGTTCCAGACAACCTGGGAATCTTCTTTTTTCCCCTGTTTTAAATTATTTTTATTGAAACACCTTGAGATACACAGTTACAAAATTGTTCATGATTTTCAGTGATACAGTGTTACAACATTCATTCCTTCACCAGGGTACATTTTCCACCATCTGGGAACCTTCTTATACAAAAAGTTCTTGTCCTTGAAAAAATACTAAGTCACATTTTTCCTGCTGTGTATGTCCTATTCTTGGGAACTATTGCTGGAATATAAAACCACATGGAAAGGGCCTCACCTTTATCGGATACCTGTTCTTCCAGACATCCTCTCTTAGCTAAGTAGATTGGAGCCCTGGGACAGAGCACTTTTCAAAGCTGTAATCCCCTAAAACAGGAAAACAAGTCTTGGACAGCAAATTTAGCAAAGGCCCAAGAACAGATGCAGAGAGTATTACAGGGATATAGCACTTCTAACTACAGGTTTGGTGAAGGTTTTTTTTTTTGGTTGAATTTACCACAGTCAGAACTGGGAAGGTCTTCCAAACTTGCCAGGGACAGTCTCTGTGAAAGGAAATCCACTTAGTGAAAGTTATGCTCTGGAACTACATTCCTCCCTTACAAAGGATTCCAAACACATCATCTGTAAGCACTAGTGAAAACCTTCTTAGAATTTACCAAACCAATGTTCTATACAAGAGTTCTGATAGAATGTTAATAGAATCTGTTTGAAAATGAAGAGAATGGGGAAGGGTACATTATATGGTACAATATTTTTTTGAAAATACTTCTATAGCGGTTGGAGCGATAGCACAGCAGGTAGGGCATTTGCCTTGCACACGGCCGACTCGGGTTCGATTCCCAGCATCCGATATGGTCCCCTGAGCACCGCCAGGGGTAATTCCTGAGTGCAGAGCCAGGAGTAACCCCTGTGCATTGCCAGCTATGACAAAAATAAAAAAAAGAAAATACTTCTATAATAAATTCTCTTAGAGGATACAGTGTATTTAAGCAAGTTAACGTTTCTGAAGATTAATGCTGAAAAATAAATTTCTTAACTTCATTTGTATTTTACCATCTTAACATTTTTATTTTGCATATTATACTGTATATTATTATTTTTTAGTTTTATGAAAGCACCGTGATTTACAAAGTAATTCATAACTGAGTTTTAAACATACACTGTTCTAGCGCAGAACCAACTACCATTGTCAACTTCCCTCCACCAATGTTCCCAGTTTCCCTCCCATATTACACCTCCAGTCCCCTAGACCTGCCCTCTTTCTTGAGAGGCACCTTTTTAAGTTCAGTTTTTAAACTTGGGGGTCTCATGATTTCAGTGCTGTTGAGTCTATGGTTTGGATAGTTAGCTCTGTCGTTCCTTAACACCACTCAAATGTACTCGAATCCCCTTGACCCCTGCTCCTCATCCCCCATGGTTTCTCATCTGTCTCTTCTTCCTATCTCTTTCACTTTATTTATTTCCTTTCCTTCGCTATATTCTGGGTATATTATTATTATTTTTAAAGATTTTAATTCATATGTACAAAGTACATTCTCCAATTAAGCTCAGAGCCAATAAGAGCAAAACAACAAAAATTTTTCAAATAGGTAGAAATTAAATAATACACTTATTGTTCATCAGTAAAAGAGGGGGAAAGTTTCCTAGGAAGATTTGAAAATATTCTGAGCAAACTTTTTAGAGAAAAATTCATAATATTAAATGCTTATATTAGCAGCGAGAAAATGCAAGAGCTTGAGTTCATGGTTTGCTGGTGAGAGCCCTGAGTTCAATCCCTGGAACCACATAGTCCTGTTAGCACCATCAGGTGTGACCCCCAGAAAAGTGAACCCCAAACAAATGCTTACATGATTTAAAAAGGGGCATTCTCAAATCAATAATCTAAATTTCTACATTAATAATCTAGAAAAAGACAAGGGCAAACCCCATTTAAACAGAAAAATGAAGTAGGACCTTTAAGAGCAGAAGTCACCAAAATTGGAAAGAAAAAATAATACAGAAAAATCAGTTACAAAAAGATATTTTGAAAAGTCAATGAAATAGACCAGTAGCAAGACTGAAGAAGGAAAAAATAAGACAAATTATCAATATTGAAATTAAAAGCTAAAATCTCACTATAGACAACCACCATCAGGAGCTACTGTGAATTCAAAAATTAAAAAATTTGGATAAATTAAACCTATTCCTTGAAAACTACAACTATCACAACTCACCCAAAATAAAACAGCCCAAGGTGGAACCAGCACGTCCTTCTTGCCCTGCGAGTTGGCCCCCGTGAGCGGTTCTCCGGCACTGTAATGGCCCCAGAGGCACACAAACCAATCTCGGAATTATGCGGCTTTTGGCAGAAATCCCTCCAGATTTAATTAGTAAAATATCAGCAATCCAATGACATCATATGGTCTTCATAACCAGCAATAGAAAAAAAACTATTTCATGATGCCTTTTCAGCAGGTTTGATTGTTGGGAGAAAATTCCAAATAATAATGGTGCATCTTTTGTCGAAATAATGAATGGAATCAAAGTAGAGAGAGAGTTAAGTGGAAATCATCTGCCTCACAGGCATGGGGAGGGGTGAGAAGGGGGATATATTGGGGTTCTTGGTGGTGGAAAATATGCACTGGTGAAGGGATGGGTGTTTGATCATTGTATGACCGAGACTTAAACCTGAAAGCTTTGTAACTGTTCTCATGGTGATTCAATAAATAAATTTGAAAAAAAATAGCCCAAGGAATCCTAACATATTTTTCAATAGAGAAATAAAATCAACATTAAAACAAGTAAGATAAATTTTAGATCTGAAAATGATATCTGAAATTTTAAATTCCCTAAACTTAACAGAAATAGAGACACCAAGGAAAGATTGGTAAACTTGAACATAAAGAGTTTCCATTATTAATCCCCTTCTCACCTATATTCTGTTTTTAGGTATCTATGTGGGGTTTCTTTTCTTTACAGAAATGAAGTAGTTATTGAAGAAGCAATGCTGTGATGATTAATTCATTTAATTATTGTTTTTCTGAAAAGTTCATAATTAATTCCTCATTAAAATCTGAATGATAATCTTGATTTGTAGAGTAATCATGTTTGGAAGTCTTCCACAGTGTACTCTATAGATATCATACTACTCTCTTCTGGCTTGAAGTATTTCTGTGGTGAAACATTCTAACAGTCTTTTTTTTTATTGAATCACCGTGAAGTACACTTACAAAGATTTTATGTTTGACCTTCAGCCTTACAATGATCGAACACCCATTCCTCCACCAGTGTACATTTTCCACCACCAATGTCCACGGTATCCCCCCTCTCCCATCCCAGTCCTCACCCTGCCTCTATGGCAGCATTCTAACAGTCTTATGCAACTTATATGCAAGTTTTATTTTCTCTTGCTGGTTTTAGAATTCTCTCTTAATCTTTTATTTTTGCCATTTTAATTATGTGTTTTTGATATGCATTTGTCTGGGTTTG